CTAAAAGGAGAAGTAATCATATACAGTAACACAGTAATATTTGGGAACTTTAATACCCCATTGTTAGCAATGAAAGACTATCCAGATAGAGAAGCAGTAAAGAAACAGTAGGTTTGAATAATACTATAGACCAAATGGACCTATGTAGATACCCCAGTGTAGACAACCCAGCAGTTAACCTTGTAATTTAATTCCTGCTTAAGCTTAATCTATAGCTGAAACTAATCTAAAAGAGAAGAACAATAAGTGTTGCATCTTAGAATGTGCTGTGAGTCATGAGCAGTGTGACAAGGACTGCAAACAGTTATCGCGATCCTTTCTGAGGCAAACCCAGATGAGGGGCACACCGTGAGGCTCACATGGCCAGATGACTTAACCAGACATGAGAAACTTTAAGACATGATTAGTTTGCAATTGTTTAGCTTGATGAAAAATCTCATTCTATAATCATGAGTCGATGCCTGTCTTTTTGCTTGCTGTAACTTAATTAAAGCGCAGGGGAGTGCTGACCTGGGGGTTAGTCTCCAAGGAGGTCTAAGCCCTCTGCATTAAACATCATTCTGACTCGGTCCCCAACTGCAACATACCTAACTGATATATACAAAACATTCTATCCAAAAACAGTGTAATACATATTCTTCTCAAGTGCATGTAGAACATTTTCTAGGGTAGTCCATATTTTAGGCCACAAAACAAGTTTTTGCAAATTCAAAATTTAAATCATACCAAGTATCTTCCCTGACTATAATAGCATGAAACCAGAAATCAATACATATAGAAAACTGGAAAATTCACAAACACATGGAAATTAAACAATCAATGGATCAAAGGAGAGATTAAAGGGAAATGAAAAAGTTTCTTGAGGCAAAGTTAGATGGAATCACAGCATGCCAGACCTTGTAGGACGTAGCAAAAGCAGTTCTAAGAGGGAAGATCACAGTAATAAACATCTACATTAAGAACCAAGATGCCAAATAAACAACCTAACTCTGTCGTAAGGGGCTAGAAAAAGAATAAACTGAGCCCAAAGCTAGGAGAACAAATGAAATAATAAAGATTAGAGCAGAAATAAATGAAATAGAGCACAGAAAAACTATAGAAAAGATGAACCAAACTAAGAGTTGGTTCTTTGAAAAGAAAAACAAAATTGACAAACCCTTAGCTAGACTAACCAAGGGAAAAAGAGAAAGGACCCAAATCAATGAAATCATACATGAAAAAGAAGACATTACAACAGATAACACAGAAATGCAAAGGATTAGAAGAGGCTACTCTAAACGTCTCTATGCCAACAAATAGGACAACCTACAAGAAAAGGAAACGTTTTTAGAAACATACAAGTTAGCAAGGTTGAATCAGGAATAAATAGAAACACTGAATAAATCAATTACTAGTAAGGAGATAAATCAGTTGTCAAAAAAATCTTCAATGAAGAAAAGCTCAGCATAGCTTCACTGGTGAATTTTACCAAACATTTAAAGAAGAATTCACACCAATCCTTCTCAAAGTCGTCTAGAATATTGAAAAGGAGGGAACAGTCTCAAACTTATTTTACAAAACTAGTATTATCCTCATACCTAAACCAGAAAAGTTCTCTCCTAGGAAAGACAACTGTGGGTCACTATCCCTGATGCATGTAGTTGCAAAAATTCTCAATAAAATGCTAGCAAACTGAATTCAGCAGCACGTGAAAAGGATTATACACCACAATCCATATAGATTTATGCCTGGGGTGCAAGGATGGCTCAACATATGCAAATCAACATTTGTATTTTTGGAGGAAAACAAACTTATTTAGTTCATAACAACAGAAAACCACTGGAAGGTTTTGAGCAGAAGGGTGATATGACTGAGTTATGTTTTTAAAAGACCTCTCTAGCTGTTCTGTTTTGATTAGACAGAACAAACAGGAAATCAGAGACCATTTAAGAGGTTGTTGTAATAATCCAAGAGCATTCATGGTAAATATGAAATGTCAATCAGACATCTGACTGGGAAGATTGAGTAGCTCATTGGATATATAAATCTGGAGTTGAGAGGATAGCTCAGGCATTAGAATATTTGGAATTAATCAGTGACAGAATTTAAAATCATGGTGTTGAAAAAGATCATCACAGAAATGAGGGTAGACGGGAAGCTGTGAGGACAGAGCCCTGGGCACTCCGCACTTAGAGGATGAGAAACTGAGGATGATCCTGCCAAGACAGGAGAAAAGAAGCAGCCACTCAGCCCTGTGAGAGAGCAAAAGATCTGCAGGTGAAACAATGGATGTCTCTAGAAGAATTCCCGGGGCAAATGCTCTTGACAAATTGAGTAGTTGAGGATTGAAAGTGATCATTGGGTTTGGCAACATGGAGATCATTGGTAATCTTGACAAGGGCAATTTCAGTAGATACGTGAAAACAAATGTATGAATAGAAAAGGTTAGGGAGAGAAGGAGAGAAAGTTGAAACTGTGATTTTGATGACCCTTTCAAATTTATTGTAATTGTTTTGAAATTCTCTTCAAACTTCCTAAAGAGAGAAATGGGGCAGTAACTAGAGAGAAATATAGGGTCAATGAAGTTGCTTTCTGTTGTCGTTATTGTTATTTAAATAGGAAGTATTTTAACATTTTTATCTGTCGGTAGGAATCATCCCCAGAAAGAGAGGCTTTGCCAGTACAAAAAAGAGAGGAGTCTGGTTCAATTGCAGGAGGCAATGCCCTGAGGGAAGGAAATGGGATCCAGTGAACAGATAGAGGAGTTGGTTTTAGGTCGAAATAGAGAGGGTGCATCAATATAATAGAGGGGGGCAGAATATATGAGTATTGATGGAGGTAGACTTTATAATGAAAGCATATGAATTTCTCTGGTTTGCTTTATTTTCTTAGTGAAATAAGAGGCAAGCCATGTCCTTATTGCAGGTCATTCCCTGAACATGTGGCTCACCTACCACTGTGCCATTACTCACATTATTCCTCTGATAAGAAAGTCATTCCTCTAATCCACTCATGAAATCCCTGTTGGACTTCATTGTCTAGCGTCAAACATACACCCTCTGCAAGTTTTCTGATTGTTGAAAAAGAAAAGGCTCTTTCCACCTCCAGCCTGCTACAGGACACACAGTCAGGGTCAACAACACTGGATTTATGAGGTATTACCTTTTAGCTGTTGTGGACCCATTTTACTCTCCATGAGACAGCATGTACCTGGGGCACTGTAGAGTGAAAACACGTCTTCTTCTCTATAGGAGCCAGGCAAGGAGATAGCAGGTTAGGTGGTGGTGGTAGTGGCGGTGGGGTCACCTGGCCAAGGCAGTCATAGATTGAGAGGATGCCCATTGCAGTGATGTAAGTGGACCTTCAGAAGGGAGCTAATGGCTGGCAACTCCAGCCCATGTGTGGGTGGCCATTGTATCCCCTGCCCCACAGAGCAATGGAAAGAAAAGGAATCCCATACTCCCTGCCAGGTGTATGTGGATGATTACCTGCATAACTTCTTCCTAGACTTGTACTCCCTCCAGAAGTGGGGTGGGAAACTCAGAGGTCAAAGGTGAACTGGACGAAGACTGAATTAACAATCCTGATAAACAGCCAATTGAATTGAATTTACAACAATACCATTATTCTGGAGTCAGATCAATAGTCTCTTTTCCTTGTACTCAAGTTGGTGACTGCAGAATTTAAACTTGTTACACAAATTTGGGGTCAGAAAGATTGACTCTGTATCCCAGGAACCACCTTTAGAGGGAGTATGTGGTTGGAGTGCTAACCCCTGACTCACACACCAAATTCTGCTGTTACAGAAGAAATCATGATTGCGTCATCCGTGACGGTTGAGGCTCTCTCTGTATCTCTTCCATCACAAAACATATCCTAAGATTCCACTTTAAAATGCAGTACCAATTTCAGCTCAGTGTTTTAAACATAAAATACCTGTTGAAAAAAGGTCAGTTTTTCAACATGTTAAGGATCAAATTACTCATGAATTTTGTATTAAAGGGGACAGTGGAAGGCGGAGGAAAGAGTCAGGAAAAAAGATGACTTATATATCTACTTTTGTCTTTTTGTTCCAGAGGGAAGTATTTATTACCAGGTACACTGTACATTCATGGGAGCCTGGACGGAGTGTTTTAAAATCCACGATACAAGTGAGTTCATTATGGGTCTCTCCATCCTTCCCCGAATTTAAGCTTTGAGTTTTCAAGATCTTTTCTCAATACCTAAGAGAGAAAGAATCACCCAGGGAGCTCGTTAAACAGGAAGATTCCAGTTTAGCTATCCTGGGATTCTGCATTTTTTAACAAGCATGCACCACAGTTGGAGTAAAGACACCAGAGAGGACTTGGTTAATGAGTTCTGCGTGCACAGCTTGAACTGCTTGATCTGAAGCCTTCTCAGCATGAGACCCCAATTACTGTCACTTTCCTGTGCTGATGTACACTCAGTGGCCTCCGCAGGCCCCCGGCTCCCCCTTGAGGGCTTAATCAGCACAGTTAATCACATCTATTCTTTGGAAGTTCCTCTCCTCATTGGTCAGGATTTCTGCGTCGTGACTCCAAAGAACTACAGTCCGCAAACCCTGTGGGAAGTGTTTGGGATACTGGTGCACACCTGCCATCTGGCGGTGAGCGGTGAACTCCAACTCACAAGGAGAGTCCAGCGATCCTTTCCTGCTTTTTATCCTCTGCTTTTTTTTCCCCCTCAGGGTTAACAAGTCAGAGTAAAACTTAAAAGGTGCTGTTGCCGAATTGTGCATTTATGTGTTGATAATTTTATTTTATCAAAATAAAAAATTTTAAATACTATGTTTCGAATCATGAAAGAGATTTGTGACCATCATATTAATAAGAGAAAGCAATGGCCGCAGGAAAAAAAAGATCTCTTAAATATTGTGTTGATTCTAAAGCTTTTGATCTTTAAAATAATGTATTCTTAGAGAGAAGCTTAGTTAACTGTTATTTTATGTATACTGGCTGATAAAGTTTTAAATCTAGCCTAGCCTCTGTTTCATTATTCAGGTAATCATCTAAACAGTGTGCCGCCAGCCTTGGAGCTAATTTGAAAGTGGGGGATTTCAATACTTCTTTCATAATTGGGAAAATCTAACACGTTTAATTAACAAAAGGATTCCTCCTCTTCTCTCTTCGTCACGAACTTGAAAACTGTAAGTATGGTATAAATAAAACTGTGAGTCTTGAATCTCATTTCTTCTGGCCAAAGAAACCTAGTCAGGGAACATTTTATACTAAAACAACAAATTTCCTTATTTAAAAGATATTTTAATTTCAAATTTTTCTTTTGAAAGAGAGCCTTTTATATTTAGTTTTTATATACCATCGGACACATATATAATCAACACGCACACCCAGTTCTCTATGCTCTGGAGCTTTTTAATAGGTCTAAAGCTCAGAGAAAGAGCAGAGCCCGGGGAGATACCACATATTTGAGGCAGGGAGGAAGATGGGGCAAAGGACAGATTATGAGAGGGAGCCACGAATGAGGCTAGGATAGGAAAAGCCCGTGAGGACTTTCTGTGCACTTGTTAAGAAGAGAGGGCCCCCATTTGGTCCTGCATTTTCCAGGAGTCTGCGCAAAGAGGGAAGTCTGGTCCGGTACCCGAGTCACGGGTTCCGGGAAGCGAGAGCCGCACACCTGCTCTGGCAGAAAGCTGTTCTCAGTTTCTGAAGCTGCTCACTTGCGTTCAACAGTCTCACCTCAAGCTGGGCAAGAGCCTGGACTAAGGGATTATTTGGAAGGGACCAAAGGACCTCTCTTTCCCCTACAAGGGACAGTGTGTTAGACTCTGTGGGTGTGTGAGCAGAAATCCCAAGGGCTTGAGATGTCATGGCCCGACTGAATTATAGTTTGAAAGCTGATTTTCTCATATAAAATTGCCTTTTCAATTGTATGGGGAGAGAAGTTTAAAACTAGTAATAAACACTGGGTAGAGAAAAAAGGCATTAAAAATATTTAAAGACAATCTCAATATGGAGAGCTAAACCCAGAGAAATTCAGACCATGTCATATCTGAAATGGCAGTAAATTATTTAATAATCCTAAAATCTTAACCAGTGTGAGGAGATTAGGAACAGGGTGGTCCCTACCCTGCACGTTAGCATTATTATATGCAGTAGAGTCCGTTTATGAACACTAGTAGGATTCTTGTCATGCAAGATGAATGGGTATCAAAATTAGTGGTTACAAGTGTAGGGGAGGCAGGAGCTCTGTCCACCTGATCACATTGATTCTAGCCACAGAGGCACACTCAGGCCCTTGCCTGCAAAATGTCCCTTTGGTGAAATGCTTTTTCATGGGCAAAGGGCTGGCATAATATATATTGCCACCAGATGGCAGGAGTGCACTCTGGATAAACGGAGCTGCCAGGGACCGTTTCTCTGTTTTTTCCACCCACTAAACTCGGCAAGGTGGACAGCAAACGGAATGCAATTGGAATAGCCATTAAAGGGTTATGTAAAACATCACTTTAATTCTTTTAAGTCGGAAAGCAGTACTTCTAGAAAATACCCACAGTTGGAATTTTTTTTCTCTAAAGATGACCGTACTGTGGGCTTTTAGGCCTCCCACACACTGACTTAATAGACAATGAAAAAAAAAAACAAAAATACTTTTTAGGGGTGCATCTAATAAAGAACCTGGGAAATATTGCCGTTTGAAATCATTATTACTTAAGAATTTATGGAGCCCAGACTTTCTTCTCCCAATTTGTAAAAAAAAAAAAGTGATGAAAACAGTCACTCCTTTGAAGATGTTATTATTTACTGACCACCTATTGTGTGCCAAGGATTACATTTAAATCATTACATTTAAAGTATTACAATTAAAGCACTACATTTAAAGTATGCTTTAAAAACAGTACTTCATTGAATCTGGACCAGAGCTTTTTTAGAAAGCCCAGATTTGAACTTAAATCTGTGTAGGGCCATCAACTCTGTATTTTCCATGACCTTATTATGCTCTCTCTGCTCGAGCCACTTTCAAAAGCCATCCTGAAGGGGAAATTGGAACTACTTCCCTGGTTTGATTTTTGAGTGCGCGCAGGGATGTAGTCCCTATTTATGAGTTTCCCTCTCCTGTGCATGCTTAACATTAACCCAATCAGGGACAATAATGTATTTTGATTCTACACTTACACTGGAGGCTAAAAGTAAAGATTGGTTTGGAAGTAATAGCAAAGTCACCAGCCCATTCATTCTGAAATATGAATGAATGGTAATATGATGGGTGAGTAGAGGTGGGCTAGAGAGAGCAGAGGAATACTGGGGGGGTGGGGGTGGGGGTGTTTGACTGGGCAGAGGGAAGGATGAGATCAGGCCAGGGGGCTGGGTGCAGGTCAATGGCTTCACACTGCTCCTGGGGTTACCCCAGCTCAGTGTCTACACTGCTCCTGTGGTTACCCCAGCTCAGTGTCTTTGAGAGCCTTACCTGTATGTGGCCCTGGACAACACCTGGGGCAGCACCAGTGCTTTCCATGTGTGGCAGGTACCTGAACACATTTTGAATCCCTTAGAGACAAACATCAGGCAGTTAAGCTTTGAAAACAGTAATAGCAAGTGACTGTCTTTGGGGTGTCCCCAGTGAGAGTGGGCCTGCTCTCAGGAGTCCCCAGGAGCTTCATTTCTCCTTCATGCAGTTCTAAGTTGGACTAGAATCTATTAGAGGAGAGGAGGAGTAACAAGTCAAGGACTACAAATATCCTTAGGACAATTTTTGTGCACCATGATTTCATTGTACAGCAAAGCTACACTTGAATGTCCTTTATTTCAAGTGTCTTTAAGAGAAAAACAAGAAAACAATATGGCAACCTCAAAGGGCAAAACTGACTCAAGGGAAGAGGAGGAAGTCCCATTTTTGTTTCCTGCACAAGATGATTGGGGGTATGGGGAGAGTCTAGAAAGAAGAGATGGGGCAGGGATGAGGGACTTAGGGAAGCATCCTAGGAGAAGGGGAAAAGGGGGACTTGATTCTCCATCTGTGGCCAGAGCCATGTCCCAGGTAACTGCAGCAATGTAAGGTGTCAATATGCTGGCACAAATTAGAGGCAACATCTGCACTTTTAATGGGAGCCAGACATTGTCTCTTAGTCCTTCGGTGAGCCCTGCTGGGGAGGTGATATGACGCCTTCTCAGAGAGAATAACTTGTCCAGGGTCCAGCAGTTAGCAAAAGGCACAGTTGGGCTCAAACCCTGTTCTCTTAGCAACATCCCCTCTACTTTTCTAGGGCCTTCCTCCTAGACCATGGCTAGTGATACACACGGACTGCCACCAGGGGTCACACTGGCCAATGAGGATCCCTATGAGGCACAACTAGATCCACACATGATTGATTATGTAACTATGACCTGTTCGAGGTTAGGTCTAGTAAAATTACACCACGAACGTGAGGCATTATAAAAGATGGCTGAGAAAATATGAATATGTTTGAATAAAGCCTGCCCTCTTTTTTTCTGGCTTCAACAAGGAATAAAGGAAGATAAAAGAGTATGAATCCAACCTACCTGGCAGCACCACCAGCTCTGAATCCTGTGTACCTGGCAGTCAGGCAAAAATGGATTTGCTCAGGTTTGCTAGTGACACGAGGAGGGTGAGGGGCCAGGAGGTAACAGGATTTTAAAACAAGGCGAATATAGTTTGAGCACCAAGACAAAGCTGCTGACTACTGTTGAAGCTGTTTGTTCTTCATCAAAGGGTTTCATTTGGTTTATATACAATGACTGTTTTGCAGTTTCAATCCCCAGAATTTCTGCTTCTCAAAGGATGTAGCTCAGGCTGGAATTCTTACAAAGAATTCATAGAACAAAGTAAAAAACGCACCCGAATCTAAAGCAACATTAGCATTTGACAAGATAGTTACATTCAACTGCACAATTAACAATACGGTCACACTGCATGAACATGTTTTTCTGTAAATGTTTATTTAGAAATATTTTTAGGAAAATTAATGTGGCTGTGTCTGGGACAGTTTCTTTAGGTCAAAAAAGTGCTGACAGTCACTATGAAAACCAAGAGGCAGGCAACAAGGAGAAAAATCAAACCTATACGGCGATATTTTGAATGCTTCTCTTGTTCCTCTTCCTTTTTCAGTAAGGTATCAAAACCAGGCGTGTACATGTCTCCCAACCAAAACCGCAGGTCATTAGGATTTTCCTAAAAGAGAATTACATAGGATCAATCAGTGTTAATAGACTGTTGAGACCCCAGAACAAGACACTGTCAGAGGTATTGCAGGTCCATATTCACACTGTCCTGGTTTAAGCATCATGGCCCAAGTAAGAGAGACAAAGATTCCCTGAATAGCACACACAGCTATAGCCTCCAGGCTGACCAGGAATCCCTGGTCCACTCTGCAACTCCACTCTGTATGCCTGTGTGGGAATTCATATGGGGGCCTTTTGTGATTTATTGATTAAATTGCTCACATTGGGGATCAGAAACAAGAATGTTTCTGTCATGTTTTAGCCAATTTAGTGTCTCTTACATTTCATAAGTAGAGCATGTCAATCAGGTTAGTGAGTGGAAAGAAAATCAGAATTCCTTGCTTTAGATGAGCCTTCGAATTTTGATTTTTGTGGGCCCAGCAGGGATGAATATGTTTGGTGGGTTTCTTGGGGAATCCAGAAGCTGACTTCCGTGGAAGGCAGAATAAGACTAAGAGACTAGATGCTTCTTGGCTTACGTGCTGAGATCTCAGCCTGCTGGTCTCCTCCGTAGAGGACTACAGCGTGGTGGCATGCAGAAACCTTGGCACAGTTTGACCTCCCGAAGAAAGGACCCAATATGTTCTTCCCCACACTGGCTTCTACTCCCCATGTCTCTGTTTCTTTCACCAGCCTCATCTTTCTTTCAGCCCTACAGAACTGTCTTCAACTACACATCATCTATGCCTGGTAAGTCCCCTGTATACTCTACTGTCCATGCATTAAAATAAATGTGTCTTCTATGATCACTTGCTGTTTTTCAATGCTACAGATCCAGTGGCTATCCCTGGCATCTAGTGGGCATGCAATGAATATCTGGTGAATGTGGAATCTCTGTTGTTGTAAACCCACTTCAGGCGCCATTATTTCTCACGTGGACTGTTGCAAAGGCTTGCAGCTCTCTCTCTGCCTCTCTAGTCTCAGTGGACTTCAAGTCAGCCAGTTTCCATGGCCAGCCTCAGGGGTCAGTGAACCAGCTTCACACTTCCCAGGGCACTGCTGGAAGAGCAATGTCAGGAGCTGGGAGGGTTCTGGCGGTGGAGATACAATCCTTCCATCACAGTGCTACCAGTTTCAACTTTGTAGTCTTAGAAAAGCTAAAATATTGGAATAAAATTGGGATGACCTGTGCAGAAGGATAAATGATTTACAAATTCTTGTCTACTTAACTCTTTTCCTTCATTTTTTTATGTCCTAATCAGAGGCCTGCACTTCACCTGCCAGTTTATTGCCTCTGTTTTTCAGTAAGAACTTCCATAATGGAGACTATCATCTCTTATGTTTTGTTTATAGCTTACCTTGGTTACTAATTATGTAGCTTCTTTTCTCTTTTCTTCTTTGTTAACTCATATAGTAATTTAGAAAAATGGGAGTCACCAAAGGCACTTGGAACTTTCACAGCCCATAAGTGGTGAAAACGTTTCAGAAAATAAGTCAGGGGCTCGGTTGGCTGATTTTGCGACATGTGGGATGTTGACGAAAGAAATTGCATCAATGAGGGATAAGAAGACATTCTATTAGAAACAAGTTGAATTCCAGGAGCATCCTTCAAAAAAAGTCAGTGCTGAAGAAGAGCATCAGGGTCTGTTAATGGTTCTGGCCTGAAGGGCGGCTCCTCTGAGGTGTGGGCGGACAGGAAGGGTGGGTGGGGAGGCGGCACTTCTGGTCTTAGTGACGCAGTGCACCCGTCACTCATGTTCAGTCTTTGCAAACACAACTCGTGGTTCATTCAACAACACAAAGGATTCCTCATTGTTAATAATGTACAATTCCTTTAGTCTTACATTGGAATATTTTTTCAGTCTGTTTTTTAGCCTTATTTTCCCATTATTCTATTCCTTACACTGTAGCTCCAGCAAAAAGGGACTACTTGTTCTAACAAACTGCCACTTTCTTGTATTTGTGACTTTTCTCTTGCAACTCCTGACAGAGAAGCCTTCTCACTCATGCAAACCATTTGTATCTTCTGCAATTCTACACATCCTCAAGACCAGCACACATTTCTGGTGAAGATTTTAAAATCCAGTGTGATTTTGCCTTCTTCTGAGTCGCATATCACTTTCCATTATTATGACGGTGACTGTCTTCTTCCTCTATGTTGTTGCCTCCTCGATTTTATTCTATGGTGATCATTTTGCTCAGTTAGATGAACTTTTTGAGGGCAGGGACAGTAATATGCATCTTTATAGTCCTCTAGTCATTCATGTAAACAACAAAGAGAAGAGAATAGGCTCTAGCCTATAGTCAATAAGTGTTTATGGAATAAATCACTGCATCTTTTTCCTAATTGTAGAGGGTGACTTCTTAGAGATCCTGATCTTCAGGCTACTGATAAAAAACACAAGATTACTGTTGCTAGGGGGAGCATCTGCTATGGAAACTTCTCTGGAAAAGAGCCTACATTAAGGAGGAGACACATTAAATCCACTAGACGATTAAGAAACTTCAAAGAGTGGACAGGAAGATACTTCAAGGAGTGCACATTTTAGGTTTTAAAATGTGCAAGATTTTAAGGGCATATAATGCCGACCCATCCCCCAAAAATCTACAGGTGCTTAAGGTGCTTAAGGCTTAGAACAGATATATCTTGTTAAAAGAAGTGTACGTGATAAATGTAAGGCCTTCCTGGCCCCAAGCAAGCAGAGGCAAGCCAAGCTGGGCAGGAATCCAGTCCACTCTGAAAACAGAGGGTCATTCTTCCTGCTTTTCAGGCATTTGTAGATCTTCTATGGGATGGGTGACACCAGGGGAAAGAAAAAAAAGAAAGAAAAACTGAAGTCGGGTTTAAGTTGGGTGAATGAGTTCACTGCATAGTTTTCCTGTGTTGAAATGTTTCTGTTTTGTTTTGTTACTGAGACACAGGGAAATGTCCAAACTGAATCACTGAGTGGGCTTGAAATAAAATGGTCTTTGATGAGACCTGCTTGCACAGTGTCTAAGACAGAGCATTTAATAAATATTTTTGAATAAATGTAAAATAAGGAATTCCTAAGTATTCATGAACACGGGTGGCCACAAACCTAGGTTTTCCTCTGAAAACCTTTTACCTTCTAGGTAAATCTCCATGTGATACAGATGCCAGTAACTGCTGAAATTGTGAAACTCAAAACAAATAAACACAAATACCATCTAGGAGTGAAAAAGGGAAGCTCGAAGTCAAAAGGACCTGAAATATGGTGCCTGCTCTTAATTCTTACATATAATAGGAGTATTTAACTCATCTCCCTCATCATTTGAAGGAGTTGATTCTTTGCCTCAAGTACCTTCAGATGCCCAGCAAGATTTTCATGCAGGGAATGCTTGTCATATTCCTCGACGGTCCATGAAGGATTCTTTTTTCTTTCTTCCATCGCTTCCTCAAAGCTGACGTCACCATAGAGCGGGTTATTCTTCAGAACTGCAGACAGGGATGGTGGGGCTCTCTCGGCGGCAATCGCACCCTCCACAGTGGATCCTCTTCCTCGTTGAGGAGTCATAGTCTTCTTTTCTCTCTGTTGGGAGACAGAGCAACAGGGTGCCTCTTACCCATAGGCCACTGATGGCAGAAAACGCAGTGTGAAAAAATAACTATAACTGAAGACGGGCTGATTCTGACGGGAAACCAGAACAATTAGGACAATGAATGAACACAGGGTTCTAGGATTTTGTTTCACCTAGAATCCTAGCACTAATTTCTTTATTTCTTTGCATGTGATCTTACTCAGCTTCTGTAACCATTAAAATGCTATTTTATAAGTAACGGAGAAAGAACATCTTTAATTCAAATAGTAGACTTTTGAACCAAGCCGGTTTTTTTTCCTAGCCCACTTGCATTGAGATTTTATGATATTTTACTTCCTTCCCTTTGTGCATTCCATACATGATAAAAATATTTAACATTGCTAAGTCAGGATTAAAAGTCACCTTCTAGATATGACTGGGTTTTCACAAAAACTCACTTGGGACTCCTACTACACACAGCTTAGAGAACTGGACTAACTTAGCATTGCTCTCCTATATGTGTCTACAGACCAGGTGTTATTGGATACCTTAATATTGACTTTCCTGTTTTAAACACATTTAAGCATAATATACATATAAAAAAGTGCAGATATTATATATGTATACCTCAAGATAATTTCACAAACCAAATAATCCCAAGATTCTACAAGAAACAAAACATTTCCAGCTCATCTCATGCTCCCTTCCAAGGGTAACCCTGCCCTCCCCCTGCCCAAGGATAACCAGTACCCCAAATCTGGGTCAGTTTGCCCTCCTTTTGTATTTTATGTAAGTGGAATCATACCATGTGTGCTTTTCTGTGTCATTTGACCTTCAGATTTCTACTTTGCTCTATTTTTTTCCTTATGAGTATAAAACTACCATGGAAGTAGAAGTATTTTAATTAAAACTTGTTCATTGGCCAAATATAATAGAGAAGAAACAAAAAGCTTATAGGGTAATGCCTCATTTATCATGGTACATCAGGGGAGAGGAATTCACACATAAATTAATTTTCAGGAAAACTCAGGTTTAACCCTTAAAAATTGGTAACACATTTCATTAATTTACAACAATTTTTAAATATATGTTTCACATATTGTAGCCTTCCTAAACAGAGAAGGTTCAATGCAATTAATATTTCTGAGTCATATTTGTGATGATTAATATACTTATTCCCTCAGCATCTATATACTATTCCCTCAGTATCTGTATAAGCTAAGTTGTAAGCTAATATTACATATAGGCAGTATATGTACTATATGTAATATTAATTTCCTTCTGAAATGGTTCAAAGGTCAAATAAAAATATCATCTAGATAAAGCTACTCACATTCTCCTTGGCCTTACATTTCCTCAGTTTTCTTGACCATACATTTTTTCATATAGAGACCAACTTGGAGATCTTTGACTTCATAGGGTTATTGGTCTGCTGGAGACTAATTTATGTTCTACAATACTAAAGTTTGCAATGAAATAATAAATCATGTTGACTTAGTATTTGTCTTTAAGATGGACGGCCTCATAAAAAGTGTTTCCAATTTGAGGAAAAACAATTTGATATGAAATTTAGGATCGTTTGGCTAAGCACAATTAAAAAAGTGCTGACAGTCACTATGAAAACCAAGAGGCAGGCAACAAGGAGAAAAATCAAACCTATACGGCGATATTTTGAATGCTTCTCTTGTTCCTCTTCCTTTTTCAGTAAGGTATCAAAACCAGGCGTGTACATGTCTCCCAACCAAAACCGCAGGTCATTAGGATTTTCCTAAAAGAGAATTACATAGGATCAATCAGTGTTAATAGACGGTTGAGACCCCAGAACAAGACACTGTCAGAGGTATTGCAGGTCCATATTCACACTGTCCTGGTTTAAGCATCATGGCCCAAGTAAGAGAGACAAAGATTCCCTGAATAGCACACACAGCTATAGCCTCCAGGCTGACCAGGAATCCCTGGTCCACTCTGCAACTCCACTCTGTATGCCTGTGTGGGAATTCATATGGGGGCCTTTTGTGATTTATTGATTAAATTGCTCACATTGGGGATCAGAAACAAGAATGTTTCTGTCATGTTTTAGCCAATTTAGTGTCTCTTACATTTCATAAGTAGAGCATGTCAATCAGGTTAGTGAGTGGAAAGAAAATCAGAATTCCTTGCTTTAGATGAGCCTTCGAATTTTGATTTTTGTGGGCCCAGCAGGGATGAATATGTTTGGTGGGTTTCTTGGGGAATCCAGAAGCTGACTTCCGTGGAAGGCAGAATAAGACTAAGAGACTAGATGCTTCTTGGCTTACGTGCTGAGATCTCAGCCTGCTGGTCTCCTCCGTAGAGGACTACAGCGTGGTGGCATGCAGAAACCTTGGCACAGTTTGACCTCCCGAAGAAAGGACCCAATATGTTCTTCCCCACACTGGCTTCTACTCCCCATGTCTCTGTTTCTTTCACCAGCCTCATCTTTCTTTCAGCCCTACAGAACTGTCTTCAACTACACATCATCTATGCCTGGTAAGTCCCCTGTATACTCTACTGTCCATGCATTAAAATAAATGTGTCTTCTATGATCACTTGCTGTTTTTCAATGCTACAGATCCAGTGGCTATCCCTGGCATCTAGTGGGCATGCAATGAATATCTGGTGAATGTGGAATCTCTGTTGTTGTAAACCCACTTCAGGCGCCATTATTTCTCACGTGGACTGTTGCAAAGGCTTGCAGCTCTCTCTCTGCCTCTCTAGTCTCAGTGGACTTCAAGTCAGCCAGTTTCCATGGCCAGCCTCAGGGGTCAGTGAACCAGCTTCACACTTCCCAGGGCACTGCTGGAAGAGCAATGTCAGGAGCTGGGAGGGTTCTGGCGGTGGAGATACAATCCTTCCATCACAGTGCTACCAGTTTCAACTTTGTAGTCTTAGAAAAGCTAAAATATTGGAATAAAATTGGGATGACCTGTGCAGAAGGATAAATGATTTACAAATTCTTGTCTACTTAACTCTTTTCCTTCATTTTTTTATGTCCTAATCAGAGGCCTGCACTTCACCTGCCAGTTTATTGCCTCTGTTTTTCAGTAAGAACTTCCATAATGGAGACTATCATCTCTTATGTTTTGTTTATAGCTTACCTTGGTTACTAATTATGTAGCTTCTTTTCTCTTTTCTTCTTTGTTAACTCATATAGTAATTTAGAAAAATGGGAGTCACCAAAGGCACTTGGAACTTTCACAGCCCATAAGTGGTGAAAACGTTTCAGAAAATAAGTCAGGGGCTCGGTTGGCTGATTTTGCGACATGTGGGATGTTGACGAAAGAAATTGCATCAATGAGGGATAAGAAGACATTCTATTAGAAACAAGTTGAATTCCAGGAGCATCCTTCAAAAAAAGTCAGTGCTGAAGAAGAGCATCAGGGTCTGTTAATGGTTCTGGCCTGAAGGGCGGCTCCTCTGAGGTGTGGGCGGACAGGAAGGGTGGGTGGGGAGGCGGCACTTCTGGTCTTAGTGACGCAGTGCACCCGTCACTCATGTTCAGTCTTTGCAAACACAACTCGTGGTTCATTCAACAACACAAAGGATTCCTCATTGTTAATAATGTACAATTCCTTTAGTCTTACATTGGAATATTTTTTCAGTCTGTTTTTTAGCCTTATTTTCCCATTATTCTATTCCTTACACTGTAGCTCCAGCAAAAAGGGACTACTTGTTCTAACAAACTGCCACTTTCTTGTATTTGTGACTTTTCTCTTGCAACTCCTGACAGAGAAGCCTTCTCACTCATGCAAACCATTTGTATCTTCTGCAATTCTACACATCCTCAAGACCAGCACACATTTCTGGTGAAGATTTTAAAATCCAGTGTGATTTTGCCTTCTTCTGAGTCGCATATCACTTTCCATTATTATGACGGTGACTGTCTTCTTCCTCTATGTTGTTGCCTCCTCGATTTTATTCTATGGTGATCATTTTGCTCAGTTAGATGAACTTTTTGAGGGCAGGGACAGTAATATGCATCTTTATAGTCCTCTAGTCATTCATGTAAACAACAAAGAGAAGAGAATAGGCTCTAGCCTATAGTCAATAAGTGTTTATGGAATAAATCACTGCATCTTTTTCCTAATTGTAGAGGGTGACTTCTTAGAGATCCTGATCTTCAGGCTACTGATAAAAAACACAAGATTACTGTTGCTAGGGGGAGCATCTGCTATGGAAACTTCTCTGGAAAAGAGCCTACATTAAGGAGGAGACACATTAAATCCACTAGACGATTAAGAAACTTCAAAGAGTGGACAGGAAGATACTTCAAGGAGTGCACATTTTAGGTTTTAAAATGTGCAAGATTTTAAGGGCATATAATGCCGACCCATCCCCCAAAAATCTACAGGTGCTTAAGGTGCTTAAGGCTTAGAACAGATATATCTTGTTAAAAGAAGTGTACGTGATAAATGTAAGGCCTTCCTGGCCCCAAGCAAGCAGAGGCAAGCCAAGCTGGGCAGGAATCCAGTCCACTCTGAAAACAGAGGGTCATTCTTCCTGCTTTTCAGGCATTTGTAGATCTTCTATGGGATGGGTGACACCAGGGGAAAGAAAAAAAAGAAAGAAAAACTGAAGTCGGGTTTAAGTTGGGTGAATGAGTTCACTGCATAGTTTTCCTGTGTTGAAATGTTTCTGTTTTGTTTTGTTACTGAGACACAGGGAAATGTCCAAACTGAATCACTGAGTGGGCTTGAAATAAAATGGTCTTTGATGAGACCTGCTTGCACAGTGTCTAAGACAGAGCATTTAATAAATATTTTTGAATAAATGTAAAATAAGGAATTCCTAAGTATTCATGAACACGGGTGGCCACAAACCTAGGTTTTCCTCTGAAAACCTTTTACCTTCTAGGTAAATCTCCATGTGATACAGATGCCAGTAACTGCTGAAATTGTGAAACTCAAAACAAATAAACACAAATACCATCTAGGAGTGAAAAAGGGAAGCTCGAAGTCAAAAGGACCTGAAATATGGTGCCTGCTCTTAATTCTTACATATAATAGGAGTATTTAACTCATCTCCCTCATCATTTGAAGGAGTTGATTCTTTGCCTCAAGTACCTTCAGATGCCCAGCAAGATTTTCATGCAGGGAATGCTTGTCATATTCCTCGACGGTCCATGAAGGATTCTTTTTTCTTTCTTCCATCGCTTCCTCAAAGCTGACGTCACCATAGAGCGGGTTATTCTTCAGAACTGCAGACAGGGATGGTGGGGCTCTCTCGGCGGCAATCGCACCCTCCACAGTGGATCCTCTTCCTCGTTGAGGAGTCATAGTCTTCTTTTCTCTCTGTTGGGAGACAGAGCAACAGGGTGCCTCTTACCCATAGGCCACTGATGGCAGAAAACGCAGTGTGAAAAAATAACTATAACTGAAGACGGGCTGATTCTGACGGGAAACCAGAACAATTAGGACAATGAATGAACACAGGGTTCTAGGATTTTGTTTCACCTAGAATCCTAGCACTAATTTCTTTATTTCTTTGCATGTGATCTTACTCAGCTTCTGTAACCATTAAAATGCTATTTTATAAGTAACGGAGAAAGAACATCTTTAATTCAAATAGTAGACTTTTGAACCAAGCCGGTTTTTTTTCCTAGCCCACTTGCATTGAGATTTTATGATATTTTACTTCCTTCCCTTTGTGCATTCCATACATGATAAAAATATTTAACATTGCTAAGTCAGGATTAAAAGTCACCTTCTAGATATGACTGGGTTTTCACAAAAACTCACTTGGGACTCCTACTACACACAGCTTAGAGAACTGGACTAACTTAGCATTGCTCTCCTATATGTGTCTACAGACCAGGTGTTATTGGATACCTTAATATTGACTTTCCTGTTTTAAACACATTTAAGCATAATATACATATAAAAAAGTGCAGATATTATATATGTATACCTCAAGATAATTTCACAAACCAAATAATCCCAAGATTCTACAAGAAACAAAACATTTCCAGCTCATCTCATGCTCCCTTCCAAGGGTAACCCTGCCCTCCCCCTGCCCAAGGATAACCAGTACCCCAAATCTGGGTCAGTTTGCCCTCCTTTTGTATTTTATGTAAGTGGAATCATACCATGTGTGCTTTTCTGTGTCATTTGACCTTCAGATTTCTACTTTGCTCTATTTTTTTCCTTATGAGTATAAAACTACCATGGAAGTAGAAGTATTTTAATTAAAACTTGTTCATTGGCCAAATATAATAGAGAAGAAACAAAAAGCTTATAGGGTAATGCCTCATTTATCATGGTACATCAGGGGAGAGGAATTCACACATAAATTAATTTTCAGGAAAACTCAGGTTTAACCCTTAAAAATTGGTAACACATTTCATTAATTTACAACAATTTTTAAATATATGTTTCACATATTGTAGCCTTCCTAAACAGAGAAGGTTCAATGCAATTAATATTTCTGAGTCATATTTGTGATGATTAATATACTTATTCCCTCAGCATCTATATACTATTCCCTCAGTATCTGTATAAGCTAAGTTGTAAGCTAATATTACATATAGGCAGTATATGTACTATATGTAATATTAATTTCCTTCTGAAATGGTTCAAAGGTCAAATAAAAATATCATCTAGATAAAGCTACTCACATTCTCCTTGGCCTTACATTTCCTCAGTTTTCTTGACCATACATTTTTTCATATAGAGACCAACTTGGAGATCTTTGACTTCATAGGGTTATTGGTCTGCTGGAGACTAATTTATGTTCTACAATACTAAAGTTTGCAATGAAATAATAAATCATGTTGACTTAGTATTTGTCTTTAAGATGGACGGCCTCATAAAAAGTGTTTCCAATTTGAGGAAAAACAATTTGATATGAAATTTAGGATCGTTTGGCTAAGCACAATTCTGACTCAAGTTTTTTTCTTCAAGGCTAGATATCTTTGATCATCTTTGAAGCAGGATAATTCTTCTGACACTGACAAATTGGTTTTGTCAGTTTTCTTGCCTGCTAGACTATTCGTTGAGCTTCTTATACAAAAAAGCTCTGTAAATGAGGAAAATGCAGTTTCAGGGTTCAAGAAAAAATAATACACACTGTTATAATGTTTAAAGACCTTGAAAAATTAAAATACACAAGATAGCAAAATAATCAGAGATACAGTATAAAAAGAACATTCAAGCTCTTAATTCTAAATCATATTATTGAAAATTTGAGGTTTATCCTAGAACATATGCCATATTATTTTTACACTACATGATAATTTCCTATCTGAAAGACACGTGAAGGGAAAATTAATACAATAACTTTATTAAGAATTGGATGATGGCATGATAAAAAAACATTAATTATGGTTGAGGTTCATTTGTATTTTGATAGACATTTCAAAAGGCTTAGGACAAAAACAACAACAACATGTATTTGCTCCCACCTCTTGACCCCACATGCTATATCTACATTTACCACAGGAAAACTCAACAGTGATTCTGTTATTTTAGTCATATGGGCTCTGAAACAATTTATATCTTAGAATATTTAAGTAAAATAACACTTCAAAGATTACCTTGACATTTTTATATTAACCGTTACTTTGTCCATTTCTTTCATACACTTTAAATATTTATACCATTTATGTATAAGTAGATTATCATTTAGTAAAAAAGTAAAATAGAATACATATTCAGACAAAAACAGAGTTTACAACTCATAGGCCTATAAAGAAGGACTCTCTAAAAAATGTACTTCAGGAAGAAGAAAATTGGTACTAGAAGGAAGTTGATAAACATGTATAGATAAATCTAAGCTAACCCCGATTATATGGTAAAATAGAAATAACAATTGTAATCACTCATTTGTGAGTTTTAAAATAAGAGACAAAACACTGGGCAGTAAAAGTTTAACACAGATATTTTTAAGACATTTTAAGAAATCATTTCAGTGAGAGGATAGAGATACGGCTAAAAATAGAGAAACAACATATAGCTTCTAAATCAGTAGAGCAGTAGAAAAAAGATAAAGGAGAGTTGATCAGTCTATAGGACGAGAAATCTGAAACAGAATATGGCAAGAGGACCCCCCAGGAAAATAGAAAGACAAATGTTAGAAATAATCATGTTAAATGTAAGCAGGGTAAATACCTGCTATTTGAATGACAGAGATAGTGTGGGTAAAACTGTAATATTTCCAGAATATCTTGCCTGGCTTTAGTATATCTGCAAATCAACAGGAGCACAAGGGTGGAGAGAAGTATGGCTTTAGTGTATTTGCATCATTCCTCAGGGGTGGAGAGAAGGTCATCTCCGTATCAATGGGTGATTACCTGGGCAAGGAGGGGCTTATCTGTACCTGAGAGGGGAGGGAAAGGCCAGTTTTGCTGCTGCTGCAGGAGAGATGGCCCTGGACTGCAGTTTGTGAGCAATAACCGCGTGTTAAACTTTATTTCTCCATTTGACTGCTTTCAGTTTTTAGAGGTATTTTGCCCCAGGATTTCCTCTCCCTGGATTGTCATATCAGATTTTTAAAATTAAATTATATAATATTTACAGGAAAAACACCTAAACTATAACGATTCAGAAGGAATGAGAGTGAAAGAATATAAAACAGGCGAATACAAACACGAGAGCTGTGTGTTGTGGCAACGGGTTAAACACTCATCAAGTTGGTTTCCCTTCCTGAACATGCAGGATGACTGCCTTGCCTAATCCATCTTGAAGTTAAATTGGGGCCAGCTCTAGTTGATGATGTGCTGACAAAAGTAACAAGATGACTTCCTAGCCTGGACCCTGAAATCTCCCGCAAGATTTTTTTGGTTCATTTCCCCCACTTTTCGTTTTTCTGTTACTGTAAGCAAGGGTTGTGTGCCAGCAGAGCTACAAGGTGAAAGAACTTGAAACCCTGGGTTATTGCTTGGAAAGAGCTGCCCTCAACCCCATCTGCCCTTCCTCAGACTTCTCATGAGCAAGGACATATTTTCTTTTCAGTTACTGATATTTTGTGGGGTTATTGTCATTACACTATAGTATTGCCTACCTACCTACCTGCCCTAATATAGAAAGTGATATCTTGAAATTCCATAAAGGTGTGGCACTGGCTTAGCAGTCAAAAAGAGGAAAGGGATCAAAGGGATGTCAGAAGCTGGAATGATGGTTATTTATGTCATACAGTAAAAAACGTTTGGTATGTCATCTGTAGTAACGTGTGATCTAATCACCTCTAGCTTTAGGGGAGACACTCATAAATAATCACAGCGCTTAGGTACATATAATGGTATTATATGAATCAAAGCATTGGAATAATACCAGAAAGAGATGAAATTAGAGAAAGATCTAGGCAGTGTGTAAACAGAAATGAAAGAGAGTAGAGAGAATCTAAAAATTTGATGACTTCTATTGTTAAAAATCTGTAGACCAATAAGACATGGATTTATTTAAAAAAAAAAAAAAAAGCATTGAGTCAAAAAGCCCACTACGATTTCTTAGCTGAATGAAATGACTCAAGGTAAAGATCATACTAGTTAGGGTGTGGCTTCACGACGATTATTCCTGGCAGCCACTAGGTGGCTTTCCTTGAGTCTACAGATAAAGAAATGGAGGCAGAAAAGCAAGGTATTAAAGCCAATTTGACAGCTTTGCTTTCCAAAAAACTTCTCTCATGTTTATTGATATATAGAACAAACAAGTAAATAAAGATTACATTAATAAATAGCCATACATAGAAGCTTTTGATTTTTTGAAATGAAATAAAAACAAAAACAAAATAAAACAACAATAGCCCCTAGGCCTCCAAATATCCATGAGTAGGAGTCAACTTTAAAGCCTGTCCTCAAAGGAGGGCCCAGTTCTGATAGGCAGAAGATCCTTCCTAGAGAATGGAACCAGGGACTACGGAGAGCAATGGATAAGGAGCTCTTAGAGAAAGTGGAATCATGACCTAATCAATCATCCCACCTTCAAGGAGGGAGGCCACACAAACATGGCTAGGTGTTCAACAAACATACAAAAGTACACGGATTGGGACATATGACTAATAGAACTCAGGCTTGACCCCCTAAAATCCCTGGGAAGATTCTTGGATTATTCTCTTTCATACATACAAGTTTGACAGAGCTTTTAATATAGTAGATTCTCAAAAAGGAACAGTCTGGATTCCACTTGGAAGCAAGCCCCCTAGATATCTATACCACTGACACCAGACTTTGTGTGAGTGGGAGATACATTTTATTAATTCATTATGAATGTGGGCATATTTGTTGCCAAAATATGACTTAGCATGACTAAGATATATATATGACTAAGAAACTATATATAGTAGAAAAACAGACTTT